GACTAGACAAAGCTGAGAGTATGTTGGCTGAGCTCAGCTGAGCATGCTGTGGGAAATTAGCATGCCTGCCATGCATCTGATGCAGTAGGCCTCACTTATCTCATCCAGGCGTCTGTCCTCTCACTACACAAGGTATCCAGGGTCCTCTCTGAGACTTTCCTCTGTTATATCTGCAAACAAACTCCATCTGTCATCGAGTCCCAGAACAGCCCAGGAAGACAGATGTGCTCCCACTGGCCTGGTGAGAAACGCCTGGATCACAGGAGAGAGCTCTGGCTGTTTTACTATCTTTCGAGGACAGGTCATTTACAGGGACGGTAATAAATGTACTAACACCCAAGAAAGTGAAAACGCGGCTATTTTTACACTTGACTTGAGCCCCTCCACTGGCTTCTTGCTGACTTACCTCTGTCCTCACCCATCTTCCTACTGAGGGACCCTAGCTAGAGTTATCCTCCGTAGGCTATCCTGAGCTACCTGCCTACCTTACCGTCTTCCATGGCTATAGAGAAGAGGGCTTCCTTGGCTCAGCTCCTCTCAGGCTGGTACACTTATCTATTCTTCATTTTGATATTTCTTATCTGAGGGATCCAGGCTTGTGATAACAAACCAGAGAGCCTCGCTATAGCCTTCAAAGCTCTAGTCTTAGTTTTAAAATGCCAGTTGCAGTGAAGTGTGTGTGTATGCGTGTGTGTGCGCGCACGCGTGCGTGTTTTTCTTTATTAAGAAATTTTCTACTCACTCTACATACCACCCACAGATCCCACCTCCTCCCTCCCCCCATCTCCTAGCCCTCCCTCCCAAGCCATCCCACATCCCACAAATCAAGGTCTCCCATGGAAAGTCAGCAGAGCCCAGCACACGGAGCCTAGGCAGGTCCAAGCCCCTTCCCACTGTATCAAGGCTGTGCAAGGTGCCACATCACTGGCACCAGATTCCCAAAAGCCTGCCCATGCACAAGGGATGGATCCCGATCCCTGTGCCTGGGTGTTCCCCAAACAACCATCTTCCATATCCAGAGGGCCTAGTCCAGTCCCCTGGGGGCTTCACAGCCACTAGTCTACAGTCATGGGCCTCCAATAGTGTAGCCAGTCATCTCTGCACTTCTTCCCGTCATGATCTCCACGTTCTCCACCTGCAGAGTCCCTCCTCCTCTCTCTCATCGATTGAATTCCTAGAGCTCAGCCTGGTGCCTGGCCATGGATCTCTGCATCCATCAGTCACTGGACAAAGGCTCTATGATGATAGAGTATTCGCTAGACTGGTCACCAGAGTAGACTAGTCCAGGCACCTTAAAAACCATCCCATCTTAGACATCGACCCCATTCTGACTCATCTCCTTACTATACAGTGCTATGGGATATCTTTCTGTAGGCTGTGAATATGTGTTGCTATGACTGGTTAATAAAGAAGCTGCTCTGGCCTATAGTGAGCCAGGTTATATCCAGGCAAGAAATCCAAGACAGAGACAGGAAGAAGAAAACAGAGGCAGGAAAGACACCAGCCTGCCACCCAAGGAGCAACATGCCAGCAGACCAGTAAAGCCATGGAACATGTGGCAAAACATAGATTAATAGAAATGGGTTAATTTAAGATACAAGAGCTAGCTAGCAAGAAGCTTGAGCTATAGGCCATCCAGTTTGTAATTAATATAAGCCTCTGTATGTTTACTTGGGTCTGAGTGGCTGCGGACCAGGTGGGACACAGGAAAACTTACGGCCACAATACAGTAAGTTCAAGGTGTTCTTGGAGGCCTTCCTTGAATTCCACACCCTGTCATGTCCTGTCTACACACACTCCCCATCTTCCACCTAACCACAAAACAGCACAGGATAATGAAGGTGGTATGTTCTCTTGTTGAGAGGTCATGGGCTGGCCCCACCCAAGCACTTCAACTGGTGTTAGGTACCCAAGCATAGCTGCTGTCAGGGATCCAGAGGAGGAATCACTTTGTGGCTAGGCTATCAACCCTACGATGACCAGCCAGCAACAATTCCTTTCTACTTTGCTGGTAGCCCATGCTGATTTTCTCCCAGAATTATGGAGTAGGACGGCCTCCTTGGGGAACAAGTCTTTACTTGGAGAAAGGCCCAGAGAGCATCCTCCACATTTTAAAAAGCAAGTTTCACTTTATATTTAGGGTATGCAACATCTTATAAGATGCTTATTGCAGTTAAGTGGTTACTATAGTATAATAAATTAGCCCGTCCATTAGCACGCATAGTTACTCATTTTCCCATTGGCAAGGACAGCTGCAGTTTACTCCTGCTACAGAAATCCTTAGTGATTCTACAGCTGTTATTAACCATCATGCTCCCGTGACACCCTAGCTCTTTAACTTGTTCACGCCCCAGTCTACTCCTTTGTTGTCTTTTGACACATTTTTCTCCTCCACACCCATGGTAAACATTGCTTTATTCTCTCTATATATTTGACTCCTGTTTAGAGTCCGTAGCGTGGAGAAGACCACTTAACTCTTCTTTTCTTTATGCATCTGACTCATTTCACAGAGCATCATGTTCTCTAGGTCTGTCCATAGTGCAGCAGATTTAAAGAAGTTGGGATCACATACCTGGAGTCTTGGCACTCAGGAGACTGGGCCTCAAAAACTTAAAGGTCTGGAGTCTGAGGTCCGTGTGGGCAGCATAGTGAGATTATGCTAAGTAAAAACAAACAAACAAGCCGGGC